ACTGGTGAAGTTTTAATGAAGACTCATTTTCCAGCATTAAAATAAGTTTAAAATGCTAATGTACTCATAAGACCAGAATCATTTAATATAGATTTCCAAACTGAACATGAAATGAATAAGGATGCTCTGGTGTCTCACAGAAGACATGCTCAGCTATAAATGCACTACATTAAACTTAAGCATATAGTAAGAAAAAATGGGCCTACTGACTGCTGTAAAAGATTACTGCTTTTCYMAGATACTTACCTCCTTGAGATTGCAGATAACCCAATCAGTAATCACTCTTATGATTCTGAATTTAACACTTGTGTTCTGAGCTTTGCTGGCAAGGATCACACTGTTCCTTTATTTCTAAATATATATATATTTTAAAAATCAATTATAGCAAGAAATCTATGACTTTCATTTTTTCAAAAAATTATGTTTAGGGAGAGGATGGCTCAAGATGATAACAGTTTTTTGAAACTTTTTGAAAAATGAAGGAAATGATAAATTCATGAGACTCATGCAAAAGACAGAGATAGAAAAGGGAGAAATAATAAATGCCTTGAATTGACATGCCAAAGGTATCTGGAGATCCAAAATATTGTTAGTAATGAAAGTGAAGTGGGGAAACATGGAGGACTATGGATGGTTCATTGGGAGATGTCAGACATAGCATGAAATCAGGGGTTCATCTAGGAGAGGAAGATGAAGAAGAGAGGGATAGATGTGTGTCACAGACATGAAGATGAGAGCTGAAGCTGTACTCGCCATCAGGCTCACCCAAAGACACCATCTATGACAACAGGAATGAAGAAAACAGGGTCAATTCAAAATTCATTACTGAATGTGGCAGTCTGTGTTCAGGTGCTTACAGGTGAACCAGACAGCTATGTCCTCTCTACTGTCAAAGCAGATGACATGGACGTGATCAGTAAAGTCTAAAGGAGTGGGGCATCTCTCGAACGAGGAAAGGCTGAGTTGGACCTGTTTAGCCTGGAGAAGAGAAGCTTGAGAGGGGATCTGATCAATATGTATAAGTACCTGAGGGGAGAATGTAGGGAGGAGGTGGCCAAACTTTTCTCAGTGGTGGCCAGTGACAGGACAAGGGGCGTTGGGTCCAAGTTGAAACCCAGGCAGCTCCATCTGCATGTGAGGAAGAACTTGTTTGGTGTGAGGGTGCCAGAGCCCTGGCACAGGCTGCCCAGGGAGGCTGTGGAGTCTCCTTCTCTGGAGATCTTCCAAAGGTGCCTGGATGCCGCCCTGTGTCCCGTGCTCTGGGTGTCCCTGCTGGAGCAGGGGGTTGGACTGGATGAGCTCCACGGGTCCCTTCCAACCTCAACCATTCTATGTGATTCTTTAAAGGCAACACATCTCATCTTGGGTACACACCCATATTTGTCAAACAAGCTGGGGGGTATAGAGGATGCAAAGATGGATGACACATGAATGTTAATGTTTTTGAGCATACTTCTATATGAAAACTACGGAAAATGAGATTGACACTGAAAAGGAAAGGAAAGTCACGAATGAGGAAGGCTAGTGATGGAAAACTGCTATATAGGATGGATTAGTAATGAGGTAAGTGAAATTTGACATTTCTGATCCCAGGAAATTTCAACCACTATTTAATACTACACTTAGAAAAAGATTCTCCTAAAATGCATTCAAGAAATTGAAAAATTTCATTTTTTTTAAATCAAAAAATAAACTCAATCAGGGCTGATATAATGACATTTAATGTCGTTTAGATTGGAGTTCTTTTTCAATATTAAACTACATTTCTCTATTGCTTTATATGATTAATAATTCTTTTTCCGTACTCTGAGGCTCCATCAGGAGATCACTCGCTTGCAACCAAACAAACCCTACAGGTCTGTTCAGGGAAGTCTCCTCACAGAAAGAGATGGAGCAGAACAACAACTCCTACAAGGCATTGCTCTACGGGTAAAAAATAGTTAACCATTTCTGAAGTGAAAACTAAATTTTCACGAACCACTTAAAAGACATATTCCCATTCAGACTAACTCAAATGTTTTATTCATATTTTTAGAAGAGAAAAACAAATTATTTTTAATAAAGTCAAGATTTTCTTGAAATATATATTAAAAAATCTAGCTCTTTTTCTTTTTGAAGAATTGACAACCATTTATGCACATTACTCTTACAAAATCAAGATAAGCATCATACAAACATAGGGTAAGGCAATTCTTTCTTCAAAGAACTACCGTCTAAGTAGATCTGACAGACAGAAAGTCAAAGTAATTTGTTGAAAGTCACACAGCAGGTCCATGACAGAGACAGAAATAAAAATCAATCCTTAAAACCTCCTAACCTGCAAATGGGGCTTGAAGGGGGGTGTCGTTAAAGGAGAAGAAAAAGTGCCCAAAGCATGGAGCAACGGATGCTTCACTTGGTAGAGCTTGTCAGCCTCTTGGAAGAGACATGTGTAGATTTGTACCAAGAGGAGGGATGTGCTGGAAGGCTGGTTCCAGAATTTGTAAAGAGAAAGGAGCAAGCACTGGGATTTGTAGATACAGAAACCAAGGAAAATGGAGAATTAGTATTTGGCAAAGGAGCACCAAAGAGCTCCAAGTGAAAGAGCAGAAATGCCTGCCACAGAGGGGGGCCCTCAGTACTGCTAGTCCAGAAGCTCCCGACCCTCACAGTGCTGCTCGGCCATGGGCTCTGCTGGGATCTCGGCTGGTGCCTTCTTTGCTGGCGGCAATGAGGGAGCATTGGCAGCGTTTGCACTCAGAGGAGAACATGCAAGTTCGGCGATTAAAAAGAAAAACCGGTTACCGAATCTGATAGGCGGTACAGACATTATAATATAGCTCAGTGAGTCTGTAAAGATTTCAAATGTAAAAAAAGGTATGTTAACAAAAACACAATGTATAGCAATAAAAAAAGCAAAGCACCACTTCCTSCCAAACCCTGATGACTTGCTAACTTTTAGTTTTACCTCTGAGGAAAAAAAGTGCCATAATAAATCATAAAGGTAGGTAATCATAAATCATTTTTGGTGTAAAAAACATCCACCAAGCTACAGATTAAATGGGTGTGAAATATGCATAATACATTACATCAAAAAAGAAAAATCCAGTTTTGTGTGCTTTATAACAAACTCCTTAGTGCTGGACCACAATAGCTTGCTGTAGTGACATTTTTAGGCTGATTAGCCATTTGAGGAGCCTTTACATGAATTGAATTTTTAAAAGAAAAAAAAAAAAGAAGACATTTTTGAAGAACCTTAGGAAAAAGAGAGTTACAAAACAACAATCTGTTTAAGAATAGAAGATCTCTCCCTAGAGTCTTTTATGCTTCAAGTACTTTGCATTAACGAGCTAAGCAACTCGTAAAAAGAACAATATGATCTAGCATACTACAGTCATTCAGTAATCCACGAGTTAAAAAACTGCAAAACAATACTACTTTGTTAACACAATCATGGAAGTTTTTCTGTATTTTAAAAAATTATTTCAATATTTGCTGTGATCTCAGTATACAACTGCTAAGGAAAAAAATGAGTGACCCACATCAAGTTAATGTAACTGTGTCTGATCCTGTGCTCAAGAGATACTGGATTTTTTTCCTTCGCTTTTTTCACTAGTATTCCATAGGGAGCAAGCAAAGACACAGCTCCATGTAAGTAACATGAGAGATTTCTAACACAAAACTCGCGTGCCCTTTCTGTGTCAATAATACTTGTGTTGCATTCATTGTAAAATTTACCCTGGGAACTGGTGTCGTCAGTGCCGGAATAAACATCACAAAATCATTTAGACATGAAATTTCTGATGTCAGAAGAGAACATGAGAATTACTGCTGAAATAAGGAAGGGATTTTTGGAACACAGACGCCTTTAAAAAATGAAGCCATTTATAAAAAGCAGAAATGCTCAATACCAAACYAGTGATTCAACTGTAGGTTTATATACCTAGAAACTCCTCAGTGACCTCTTCTATCAGACTAAAATGGCACTGAGCTTTTTTTCTATTAATAATATTTACATTAACCAATTTCACGCATTTAGGAAATCTAAAAATAAATCAGATGCATTGCATGTAACCTATTAATACATTTAAAATATTTTAAAACACTTGCATTAATCCATGCATGTGTTTAATACCCTGTATCACACAACAATAAAACACGTAGCAATCTTTATAAATCATCATTTCCTTAAATTAAATCATTGCTGGCTAATTGAACTAACACTGAACTATGAAACAATTAAATAAACCTCCAGGAAAAAAAAAAGAAAAAAGAGATTTTATGCAATCCATCTCCGATGTGATTTTAGAAAATGATTTTGGTTACTGGAACTTCACTGGAGAAAATAGGAAAATTATAATGACTGCATATATGACAGTTTGATGAGATCTATATTCACTCATCTCTCCTGCATAACAACTRCAATAGCCTTATGCATCTCCATCACTGTTATTTTCATTTTTTAAACAATTATTAATGCAATAACCTCCCCCCCCCAAGCTCTGCTCCTGAACTCTGGCACACGCTGATCTATTTGCTCCCCCACACCCTGCTTTATCAGACGCTGTTTTGTTTAAATTGGCGATTAAATCGCATAGCACTGTACCTTTAAATACAAATCAAACAATATTCATATTCCCACGGTGCTGCTAGTTTCCCTTATGCTTTGAATCGCCTGTAGATTAAAAGCTCAGGATCTGCAAAGGGATTCTGCTCTGCAGACCAAAGTTCTCTGTAGGAGATGAGGGAGAGGGTCAGTCCAGGAGTCACAAACACAACAGGCAGAAAACGCGCTTGTGATCCTCAGCTTTGGAGAGCATCAGAAAGCAGAATAAAAAGCAGAAACACATGGCACACTGAGAACTGGTATCACTTATGGCTTCTAACCAAGGCAGCAATTAAACACCTTTCATCATTCCCCGAAAGCCTTATTTCTGCGAGAACCGAGACACACACACACACACGCACACACACACAAAGGCAAATCCCCTCTGAGCGGCAACGAAAACTTAATAACCTACCATTTTCTTTGCACTCTTCTGGAGGTTTAGCCTTTTTCGCAAGTCGTGGATCCAGCCATGATGTTGTCTTTGTGTTATGGCTGAAAAGAAAAGAGATCACTCTGAGCAGACACATACTGAAAGGAATCAAGTTTATTCCTTAAGAAAAAAAAGGGTTAGTCCAACAAAATTGCAATCGATACACTTAATTTGCTTACTGGTTCTAAGTAGCCCTGAAGGAGGTGTAAGAGTAATTGTGCAAGGCAGCTGTAAATTTGGCAACCTCAGCTCCCTGTCCTCAAAGCAGCTATTTTTATTAAAATCAACTAGAATGTTGCCAAGTTAACCTCATTGAAAATGCAGAACTCATCCAGAGCAAAAGGAATTTATTACAAATACAGTGTTCTCCCGTTGAACGAGTGCAGGCGACAGGATTCTGTACCACTCTCACAGTTTTCAGGGAGAATTATTTTCATTTTAAGCCTGTCCTTTTCATAAATACAGGTTTGTTATTTCTTACCAGCAGCACCGTCAGGGCATTACAAAGTGATGCAAATTACAGCATGTGCCTGCGAAGTCTACATTTCCGGACAGAGTGATTAATGATACTTTGTTTAACAAACCTTTATCTATTCCATGTATAATTCTTCTATCAAGATAAAACAGATATTGCACAGGCTGAATGAATCATGTGGTGTCTTTCTATACTCAGAATAGATGTTTGAGGAATCAGCCATGAAATGGGCTTGAGCTAGTACAGACCTGCTTTCTATGAGAATATTTTGCCAAATGAATTGGTACTTAGAACAGATAATGAGACTTACAAAGAGACTTTTTCAATGTTTACCTTTCTCATAAGCTTTTGAATTTGGAGCCATTTTTTCAGAAATACGTTAAAAAAGGAAGGCTATACAATAGCAAAGGCTCTGATCCTTACTCCTTTATTTTTGAGATGCYTTTCTTACAATACCATCATTCACAGCCCATTCTAGCCCATGTTTTATTTATCTGCTACATCCTAAGAGAACACTCATTCCATACAACTTACACAGTACTGAATTATTTAGATTATTATTAATTTGCTGTGTCATTTTAAAGTGTGATTAAGACCTCTGTTATAAACAGTAGCAGGAGCTGAATGAGAACAGGGGTGAAGGTTACGAAGGCAGGGCCTTCTCCCACCTTGATTCCCTGTTTAGTCCTTGGTAGCTAATTCCTCTCTGCCTTGATTTCCCCGTCTCCGAAACTAACTATTCTATCCGTCTCTGATGCTAAGTATTTCCTAGCATTATTCTCACTAAGCTAGCTCTTTCATACGTACTTTGGACAGAAAACGGCAGATATGAGCTAGGTATAAAGTGGCAACTAAAATGAGAATTTTAAATTCCATTTAAATTCCCATTTTAAGCACATTCTACTCGGAAACACCATTCATGACAGGTAGAGAGAATAAATTAAACCCTCACCTCCTTTCAGAGGGTGGATATATTTGCAGAGCATGAAGAATGATAAGCTAAAGGTAAGGTAAATTTGAAACGATGCCTTCAGCCTGTGCTTGATTGCAAATGTAACTAAGATGCTTTCTCTGAAGATTTTGCTGCCTGTGGTCTCCTGTAGGGTGTATTTTTATACTGCAGTCACAGCTTAACTGCAGCTTGTGCAGACATACTTGAGCTAGCTTTAAATTAACTAACGGAGATACTGGCAGCGATGACATTGCAGCAGGATGGAGCTCAGCGTGGGCTCCTTGCTCGGGCTTCTACTTGGGTGCCTTTTGCAGCGCACGYGCCCCTCCTCGCTACCCTGAGAATCATAGGATCATGGAATGCTTAAGGTTGGAAGGGACCTCTGAGGTCATCTAGTCCAACCCCCTTTGGCAGTGCCAGAGCTAAAGCTGGGTTGGACGTAGCTGTGCAAGCTGCAGTCGCACTGTAACCTGGACATGTCTTGTATAATTGCTACTGTCTCCTAGCTACTAGATCCAAATAATTTTAGGGACACCCACCAGCTGTAAGAAATAAATCAGACCCAAGGGTAGTTTGTTACAGCTTTTAAAAAATACTGCTCACTACTACAGTTAGTAATGATGACCAGTGGGTCTCAAAACATTTTACAGAGAAAATAAGAATTATAATCCCTGTTTTGAAGATGAGGAACCCTCTTTTAAAGATGAGGAAACTGAGACACAGACTCATCAAATGCCTGTCCAGAGGCAAAGCCAGGGGCACRGCCTGTGGCAGGAGCCCTCTCCGTTGCAGTCCAGCTGGCCGGTCCACACAGCAGCAGAGCAGACCCATTCAACAGTCCTGAAAATCCCTTTTAGCTGCATTTCTAAAGTAGGCCTGAAAACCCATTTCAGGCCTCTACAGAGGTAGGTGACAGGCTGAAAATCAGCCCAATTCAGTACGACTCAGTACGACAAGTTGGACTGTGTTCTGCATGCTCTTGTTCAAATAAAGAGGAGCATCAAGCAACAGCAGCACTTCCCTTCAGCATAAATGYGGCTTTCATGAGGGCAGTAGGACCGATGTCTTCCAATTTTGTGCACCATGACCATTGTTTAGATAAAATCATAAACAAAAAAGTCAAAAGCTTTTCCAAACACAAGAATGATCCTTCAATCTGAAGCAAAATGTCAGAGAGCGAAGACAGTAAAACCAGTGTATCATATAAATCCACTCTTATGCCACCTGCTTTCCTCTTCTTTTATTCCTCTGGTTAGTTACCACCTCCTAAACATAGCCAGCTACTTCAAGAAAGCAATATTCTTCTACAAGAACTTATATCTGTAACAGATAACAGACGAAGCAAAATACCATTTGAAACCCATCCATATCCTCCTGATCCTTCTTCCTTGTCCTGCCTTCCCACTTTACCTGTATGAAGCTGTATGAAACAGCTATGGAATCTCTTGCCGTGGGTCTTAAAATTTTTCTAGACAAGTGCTTCAGCACAAGGTAGAAATCCTTTTCTTGATGAGAAGACTAACCCTACTTAAAGGAAAKTAGAAACAACCCCACCTGTCTTCCGACTTTCCTGTATTACTGTGAGTGTCCTTGCACTATATTGCACTCCTTCTTGGCATTGTCGTAGCAACCAGGTGCACAACAGAAACACTCCCACGATGACAGACACGATTGCCCTCGCAGTGCTGTTGGGAAACGAGGGAAATAAGCTGTCCTACATATAGTGCAGTAGGTTGGTATGCATGGGTATGTCTGTTCTGAGGGTTAGCTGACAGGGTGCTCCCCCAGCCTCCCGCTGTGACACCTTTCAGGTGGTAGGTTTTGGAGAGATGCTGCTCTTCTTATAGATGATGCTACAGCTAATGCTATGGGGTGTCTGTTATCTTTCAGCAAGGACTGGAACTGGGGCTAGCCGCTATGGAAACACATGAAGAAGATGCACCTTATTCCTCGTGCAGATAGGACAGATTAAGAATGGGAAGATCAAAAGCGGGGTGGCACTGGCTTGCTGAGTGTCCCAGGGCAGGTGGAGAATGCGCCTCTGACAGGACAGCAGCCCTCCTGAGCGCCACGGCTCTGCCTGCTCACCGTGCAGTTCTGCAGCAGACCAGCATCTGGAGATGCTAAAGGGGAAACAGAACTTGGCACTACACGTTTTTTGATCTAATTCCAAAGAATACTTGATTGTAAGTTTGGCAGTGGTGAAGAAGCCAGAGGGAACACCAAAATGGCCAAATTAATACAAATGGCGAAAGTAACATCAATGCTTATCTGCCACAAGGTCTGCACGTGTAAATACTTTTAACTCGTTAAAACCCYGCAAAAATGCACAGTGCGTAACCTGCCTGGATTATGACTGTGTCTAATAGTGTGTGGCTATTTGGGGAGTCTTATCAACAAACCAGAAGGAAAAAAGGGGTCAGGGATTTACCCATCAGTTATGAATGAACTGCAGAGACAGTTGTGGAAAACTGCTCAAGCAGGCAGTCAGAGCGGTTTTCACTGACTGACTGAGAGTGAACTGATGCAATCAAAGTGTTCTGTGAGAAATACTGCTGCATTTCCAAAACCAGAGAATCCCAGAATGGTTGAGGTTGGAAGGGACCCCTAGAGAGCATCCAGTCCAGCCCCCTGCTCCAGCAGGGACACCCAGAGCACGGGGCACAGGGCGGCATCCAGGCGCCTTTGGAAGATCTCCAGAGAWGGAGACTCCACAGCCTCCCTGGGCAGCCTGGGCCAGGGCTCTGGCAYCCTCMCASCAAASAAGTTCTTCCTCATATGGACATGGAACTTCCTKTATTTCAACTTATACCCATTACCCCTTAAAATTTTTCTGCTGGCTAGTGTTTAATTACTCAGCAATAACCATAGCTCATAAATAAAAGACAGGTTTAGACTTGTCTCCATCCTTACACAATTTCTCTGATCTTTATTGCTAACTCGGAAGACTTAGCCCAAAAGTGGATGCTGACAAAGAAACCATGCATGCCTTAAATTCCATCTTAAAATCAAGAGGAAGGTCTTAAGTTGGAAATCTGATAAGCAGTCAAGGAAGGATCCACTTTATTTTGCTCCATTCACATACAGAAGTGGCATAGTATAACTTCTTTGAAATTCATTCTAATTTACTACCTGATAATACAAAATAGAAAGAGCTTCTAGGCCTTAAGAATATTGTAAATTGGCAGAATAATGTCTAAAACACAAAATAAAAGTTGCCCTTTAAAGCCACTGAGCTTAACATTGCAACCAAAAGTTACTAAAATAATCGCTGCATAGTTAATTTAAATCATCTTTACCAAGTATTTGCATCCCACAGAAACAGCATACCATAAACAGTATTCTCCAGTATGAAACACAGATAATTCTAAACATACATGAACGCATTAAATAAATAAAATGAAAGAAAGTTCAGAATATTTCCTAATGTGTCTGACTCAGTTGGCCCATTGCTCTGCTTTAGAAACCTTGCGGAGATGCTTGATGTCCCAATTCCTCATTATCACCATTGGATGTAGCAACCAGAGCCTTCAGAAAACCTGACTAGCTGCTCCTCAACACCTTCAGGAGTCCAAATATGCTGCAAGTGTCGCCCTTCTTGTTTGACAATGCATTACCTTGCCGTTATAGTTATT